AACCAGTCTGTTGTTCCATGTCCAGTTCTTACTGTTGCTTCCTGACCTGCATACAGGTTTCTCAAGAGGCAGGTCAGGTGGTCTGGTATTCCCATCTTTTCAAAATGTTCCACAGTTTATTGTGATCCACAGTCAAAGGCTTTGGCATAGTCAATAAAGCAGAAATAGATGTTTTTCTGGAACTCTCTTGCTTTTTTGATGATCCAGTGGATGTTGGCAATTTGATCTCTGGTTCCTCTGCCATTTCTAAAACCAGCTTGAACATCTGGAAGTTCACAGTTCACATATTGCTGAAGCCTGGCTTGGAGAATCTTGAGCATTACTTTACTAGCATGTGAGATGAGTGCAATTGTGTGGTAGTTTGAGCTTTCATTGGCATTGCCTTCCTTTGAGATTGGAATGAAAACTGACCTTTTCCAGTCCTGTAGCCACTGCTGAGGTTTCCATATTTGCTGGCATATTGAGTGCAGCACTTTCACAGCATCATCTTTCAGGATTTGAAATAGCTCAACTGGAATTCCATCACCTCCACTAGCTTTGTTCGTAGTGATGCTTTCTAAGGCCCACTTGACTTCACATTCCAGGATGTCTGGCTCTAGGTCTGGCCTCATTAATTATATTTATTTCTATATATTGTACCCTTTCTAGTGAAATTGTAAATAGGATTATGTCCTTAATTTTCTTTCAGTAATTCATTTTTAATGTATAGAAAAGGAACATATTTCTATATATTAATTTTATATACTGAAACTTTACTGAATTCATTAATGAGTTCTAATAGTTTGTTGATAGCATCCTTAGCATTTTCTATGTAGTATCATGTCACCTGCAAACAGTCATAAGTTTCCTACTTCCTTTCCAATCCAGATCTCTTTTTATTTCTTTACTTATTTGGTTGCTGTGACTAGGACTTCCAATAATGTGTTGAATACCAGTGGCAAGAGTGGTCTTTCTTGTCTTGTTCCTCATCTTATAGAAAATATTTTTAGCTTTTCATCATTAATTATGATGTTAGCTGTGGGTTTGTCATATAAGACCTTTATTATTTGAGGTATATTCCCTCTTTACTCACTTTGTTGAGAGTTTTTATCATAAAGGAATGTTGAATTTTGTAAAAGCTTTTCTGCATCTATGAGATGATCACATGATCTTTATTCTTCAATCTGTTAATGTGACATATCACATTTGATTGACTTGCAGATATTGTACCATCCTTATCTCCCTGGGATAAATCCCACTTGGTCATGTTATATGATCCTTATAATGTATTGTTGAATTAGTTTGCCCATATTTTGTTGGGGAAATTTGCATCTATGTTCATCAATGATATCGACCTATAATTTCTTTTTAATGATGCTTTTGTATGCTTCAGGTATCCAAATGATGCTAGCTTCATAAATGGATTTGGAAGCATTTCTTCCTCTGAAATTTAAAAAAAAAATAATTTGAGAAAGGTATATGTTAACTGTTCTCTGAATGTTTGTTAGAATTCACCTGTGATGCTATCTAGTTCTGGTCTTTCTTTTTTTTGCTGGGATTTTCTTTAATTACTGATTTAATTTCATGACTGGTAAATGGTCTGTTTGTATTTTCAATTTCTTCTTGTTTCAGTCTTAGGAGAGTGTATTGATGTGGTGTCATTTGTAACTTCTCTTTCATTTCTGATTTTATTCATTTTTACCCATCCTGTTTTTCTTGATCAGTCTAATGGTTTAGCAATTTGTTTATCTTTTCAAAGAAGCAGCTCTTAGTTTCATTGGTCTTTTCTGTTACTTTTAAAATCTCTATTTCATTTATTTCTACTCTAATCTTTATGATTTCTTTCCTCCTATTAACTTTGGCATTTATTTGTTCTTCTTTTTCTAGTTCCATTAAGTGTAAAGTTAGATTGTTACCTGAGATTTTTTTGCTTCCTGAGGTAGACTTTTATCATGTAAGCTTCCCTTTTAGTACAGATTTTGCTATGTCACATATATTTTTGGATTGTGTTTTTTGTCTCCAGGTATTTTTTATTTCTTCTTTAATTTTTCCTGTGATTCATTTGTTGTTTAGTGGCATATTATTCAGCCTCCACATGTTTGTGACTTTTGCAGCTTTTTCTTATAGTTGATTTCTAGTCTCATAGCCTTGTGGATGGAAAAGATGCTTGATAAACTTTCAATCTTCTTAAACTTTCTGAGATTTATTTTGTAGCCTAGCATGTGATCTCTCCTGGAGAATGCTCTATGTGTATGTGAAAAGAATGTGTATTCTGCTGCTTCAAATGGAATATTATATATAGATCTATTAAGTCCAATGTGTTGTTTAAGGCAATTGTTTCCTTGATGTTTTTGTCTGGATAATCTGTTCATTGATATAAATGAAGTGTTTAAGTCCCTTACTATTATTATGTCATTATTATTGTATTATTGCCAATTCCTCCCTTTATGTTTGTTAATATTTGTTTTATATATTTAGGTATTTCTATGTTGAATGTATATGTTTATAATTGTTATATGTTCTTGCTGTTTCATCTCTTTATTATTTTGTAGTTTCCTTCTTTGTCTCTTATTATATCTTGGTTTTAAAATCCATTTTGTCTGATGTAAGTATTGCTTCCCCAGCTTTTTTTCTTTTGATTACCATTTGCGTGGAATACTATTTCTATCCCTTACTCTCAGGCTAGTGAAGATTTGGATTTGAAGTGAGTCTCTTATGGAGAACATATATATGGATCTTGTTTTCATGTTTATTCAGTCACTCTTTGTCTTTTGATTGGAGCATTTACTCCATTTACATTTAAAGTGATTATTGGTAGCAGGGCATGGAAACCCACTGCACTGCTCTTGCCTGGAGAACCTCCGGGACAGAGAAGCCTGGCAGGTACAGTCCATAGGGTCGCAGAGAGTGGGACACAACTGGGGGGACTTCGCACAGACACAGACATGTGCTCACTGGGCTTCCCAGGTGGATCTTGTGGCAAAGAACCCACCTGCCAGTGCAGGAAATGTGAGAGACCCAGGTCTGATCCATGGGCCGGAAAGAGCGCCCGGAGGAGGCATGGCGACCCACTCCAGTGTGCTTGTCTGAAGAATTCCCATGGACAGAGGAGCCTGGTGGGCTGCACCCCACAGGGTCCCAGAGAGCTGGACATGACCGAGTGACAGCATGCACACATGCACGTGTGCTCATCATTCTGTTAGCTGCTTTCAGGCCCTTTGATGGCCCTTTTTCGTTCCTTTCTTTCTTTTGCTCTGTTCCCTTGAGATATGGTGACTATCCTTAGTTTTATATTTGGATTCCTTTCTCCATTCTGTGAGTGTATCTATCATAAATTTTGGTTTTTGGTTACCATGAAGTTTATATATATATATGTGTATGTGTGTGTATGTGTATATATATATATATATGAATGTATATATAATTTATATATACATGATTATTTTAGGTTGCTGATCTCTTAAGTTCAAATGCATTTTAACAGCTTTGTATTTTTACTCCTCCAAGTTTACTATTTTGACATTATATTATTCATCTTTGTCTTTTGTGTATCCCTTTACAATTTATTGTGAATATAGTTGATTTTAGTACCTCTGCCTTTTAGCCTTTCTACTAAGTTTATAAGTAGTTGATCACCTACCTTACTGTATATTTGCCATTACGAATGAGATTTTTCCTTTTGTAATTTTTGAACCTCTAGATTTTGTTCCTTTCTTTTCTGCTTATAAAATTCCTTTTACATTACTTGTGAAGCTGCTTTGGTGGTGAACTGTTTTAGCTTTTGCTTATGTGTAAAACTTTTTATTTCTCCATCAAATCTGATGAAAGCATTGCCAGGTAAAATATTCTTGTTTGTAGGAGTTCC